GCTATGTGGACCTCTTTACAGTCACATTGACCAAATGATCAATACAGACAAACAAACAATACAGACAATAAGGAAGTCAGACCCTTACTCCCAATTCCATAGATACAAGTATTAATGCAAAATCCCCAACAAGAAGGACATACTCCAGCATAAAGACAACATATTCCTTTCATTTAAAACCATAAAGATGCCACCCAGATCCCAGTTCAGTAATAATTTTCTTTGAATAATTAATTTTTAAAATGCAAGATTTTTAAATAATGAAATGAATAAAATCAGATATAAAAAAATCAAGTTCACATAGCGAATAACTCTTTCTCTATTGAAATAATTTAGGATATAAACCACCTACCTTAGTTTTCAAGTCTTTTCATCAGTTCATTAAGAACTATGGGATAGATTATTGAAACCTCATCTCGCACTTTCCTCCAGGCACAAAGACTGTGTTGTCTATCTTTGAGAAACGTATGGAGTTTCCTGAAGTATTTCTTCATTGCTAACTTTACACGGAAGTCTTTAAACGTTTCCCTGTTTCCAATTTCAGCAGTAGAGCACCTCTTCCACATTACACATTGTTGGTCAAGGGCCCTTTGGAAAAGCTCTATGGCTGTCACATTCCATTGTGCTTGGGTGAAGTTATGCTGAAATACTATTTGGATGGACTCAAGTAGCAGCCCTATTGCCATTCTTGCATCCTCTTTGCTGCACGTGCGGATTTTGACCATGGGGAAGCCAAAATCTGGATTTTCAGGGCATTCCTGTGGATTCCAGGCTTCTCCCATTGTTTCCAGAAGTGTTCTGGTCTTCCCAATCTCATCCTCTTGAAATTGCACAATTAGACCACAGTCCAGTGTTAGAATTTCAGATGCAAGCAAAAGCAACAGGCCAATTTGCCACAGAACCTTTGTGGTCATGTTGATTCTCCTTTTGCGGTTTGTATGGAGAAGTTGAAAGGTTGGAGCTCCTTCAAGTATCTCCCTAGACTGTTGTGTTTTGGAGCCATGTCTCTGAGTTTATATATGCAAGAAAGTGAAGTGACCACTTTGATCACTTTCTGTATCTCATTTCCATTTTCTGTTTAACTGTATCATGGTATTTGGGGTTATTTTTGGATTTCTTTGGGTATGGGGGAAATATTTAAACTCTTCTTCTCTCAATCTGTTCTCTTTATTAATATCAGACTTTCCACATTGTAGGTTTTGCCCTATGGGACAAAGCATGTGTAGGTACCATACAATGATGTAACTCCCATAATGTAACAAGCTGCCAAGAGATATTAGCAGCTTAATATCAGCAATACACAGCACATCGGTGGATTCAGACCCATCCACTGATAACTCCCTATGCTGTGTTTGGTTTAGCCTTAGTGTAACACCAGTTTAACTATCATGACCCCTTGACAGACACTACGGTTTTTTAGCCTATTTGGGGGTTCAGGATTTCAGTTCATTAGCATAAATTTCCTGAAATTCATTAGGAATTTATGGTGAGTTTCCAAGACACCATGGTTCATTTTAAACTAGTTGAAGGCTGCAGTGTGGCTCTGTATACATATGTCAAGGACTATGGATTGCTGTTGTTTTTGTTGCTGTTGTTGGTTTCCTTTTTAAAACCATGTTATTTTTAATTTTTAAAACAAAAAACGCAACTGTTATCAAATTATTGTCTACACATGTTTCACTATAACACTGCAGTCAAACATAATCATCACTTCATACTTAAAAGGGATTTCTTCAAAAATTAATAAACTAACTTGGGGGTCCATAAAAGATTTCATGTCTGATGACAAAATCAATAACATAATACTAAATTGTTGTGAGGTCATTTCTGGTATCAACACCTTTCGGGTGAACTTTTCTGCCAGTGTGATTTCCCAGCTTCTGTTTACTGACCCCACATGTTAAGTCTTTTCAGTAGTGTCCAGTATTTTGTTACTTCCAGTCTTGCAGCCAGTAGTTACATTGAACTCAATATTTTGTGCCTAGATGTCTCATTTTTGTCTTTATTGAGAATAGCAATAGTGTGCCAGTTTTCTGGATGTTTTGATCAGTGATGCTAATGAGATTAAATACTTTGTCTCAAATGTTAAGGAACCATAGGACTTGCAGCTTGTTAAGAGTTATTATGATATTTCCGAATCACTTCTTGCCAGGGTCCCAGTGTTCCGACTTACACTTGTTCTGGCATAGCAATAGAAGAGAACAATGCCATTGAATCTGGGAGGAAAGCAGGTGGAACTGCAGACCAGTACAAGAAAATCATTGAAGGGACAAAAGCAGGATAGAGAGACCACATCCATTTCTTGAGCAAGAAATTTTGCTGCCTTAGGTAAGGAAGAAGATGCCTTCTCCCACCATCCCATGTACAAGAGCTGATTTGACTGGCAGCCAAACATTACTTCAGTGAGGTAAGGGGCCCATCCACATTAGACAATTCTATAACTATTATTCCACTTTAGTTGCCATCGCTCCATACATCCTGGCTTAGAGTTCTAAATCCTCCTCTCCACCAATCTGAGTGTTTCATAAGGCAGAACCATGGAAGTTAAAGTGAAATCATAGCACTATAATTGTTATTGTGTGACTTCACATCATTTTCGACTTATGACAACCCTAAGAGGGAGCGTGTCATAGGGTTTTCTTGGCAAGATTTGTTCAGAGGAGGTTTGCCTTTTCCATCCTCTGAAGCTGAGAGAGGGTGAATTGCTCAAGGTTACCCTGTGGGGTTCCATGGCTGAATGGGGATTCGAAGCCTGGTCTCCAGAGTTGTAGTCCAATGCTCAAACCACTACATCACACTGTGTCTTCCACTCTAATACTGTAGCATGAATGGGTTCCAGGTCCTCTCTTGCACTGAAGGCAAAGGGCCCATTTAGATGGTGCTTGACACAAGTGGTGATCTCCTCCAAGGGAAGAAAAAGATCTGAGGAGTCAAGAGGAACAGCTGTAGAGGTTTCATTGCTGCCTTCCCTCATCATCTTCCTGAGATGGGTATGCTGTTTGGAACTGAAGAATCCTCTCATGGTAGACTATAGCTGCATCTGAACTGCAGAAATAATGCAGTTTGATTCCACTTTAACTGCCATGGCTCAATGCTGTCGAATTCTGGGAATTGTAGTTTTGTGAGATATTTAGCTTTCTCTGTCAGAGAACACTGGTGCCATAACAAACTACCAATCACAGGATTTCATAATATTGAGCCATGGCAGTTAAAATGGTGTCAAATTGAATTATTTCTTCAGGGCCTATGCAGCCTATGTGAAATAAATGCTGAGGTGGATTAGTAGTCCTGATATAGTTCCCAAAGGGCTACTGTAATATTTCCTGAATGATCTGTGTTATACTCTAACCCAATATTTTGAAGAACATAAGATGCTAGTGGAAACAGCATTCATCTTAATGGTTTCCACCACATAATAGCTGTCACTCCCTGGAAATTTCCCCTCCCCCAATACATCAGTTTCCCCGTCTGAGATGCTTAGATGCTTGAAATTTTACTTTTTAATTCAATCGGAGAACCAGATGTGTGTGTCACCAGTTTCACTTTCTGTAGCTTGTTTTCTGTTTGTCATATCTACAGTCATTTGAATTTAAGGCAGGGGTGGGCAACTGTGGCACTTCAGATGTTGTTGGATTGCAATTCCCAAAATTCCTCATCACTGGCTATGTTGGTTGGAACTGGTGGGAAACTGAGGCTAAAAGATGCTGGAGAGTCACAGCTGACAACCTCTGGTTTAAATCTATTTTGAATCTGGTGTGTTATGGTAGTATTGTATTCAAACAATGCATGGCCATTTTTGTTCATTAAATTACAGGTCACCTTATGTTTCCTTAGTATCTTCAGAAGGCATTTTCAGCTTTTTAAAATATAATGGATAAATGAATGGAAAGACAAAATATTAATTGCAGTGATTAATTAATAACCATAAAGCAGGGGTAGGCAACCTTTCCCCTTTAAGGGCCAAGGGACTTCAGCTCCCAGAATCCCAGGAGCTATTAACCAACATGGGATTATTGGCCAATATGGCTGAGGCTTCTGGGAGCTGAAGTCCCTCGACCCTTAAAGGGGAAAGGTTGCCTACCCCTGCCATAAAGCCTACACATGTTTACACAGGAGTACAGATTTTGGACCATTCTCCCCTGGATCCATTTTTTGAGTGAATTTTTATGGTTCACTGAATATGAGAACAAGGCTGTGACAATGCTCAATATATTCAAAAGGGTTTAGTCCCAGGAAAGTTTGCATAGACGTGCAACCTTCACAAAATGTTTTTAGTTGTAATTGCTCAAGGCAGCACAGGAATACAGATTTCTTTGCTAAATTTAATGTGAGCAAAAGGCTCATCTTGACTGTGTGGTGGCTGAAGAGATGGAAAATCCTTGCATTGGTTGACCATATGGTAGACGTGAAGGTCCAACATATATGTAAGCGGTAAAGACATAGCAATAGAGTGGCATACCAATAGAGCTGTTTCAAGCAAGAGAGAAACAAAATCCTCTCAAATTTTTACTCAAATCTGTCAGCAAATATGGAAAACAAAACAATGGCTGATGCAAAGTGATGTTCAAAATATTACAATAAAACCTTTTACCCCATATGGAGCGTGAAAGGTGAAATATTAAAGCTGGGTTCAGAAGAGGAAGAGGCATGAGGGATCACATTGCAAATGTATATTGACTAATGGAGTGTACCAAAGAATTTCAGAAGAAAATCAGCCTGTGCTGAAGATTCACAAAAAACTATGGGTCATTCTTAAGGAAACAGATGTACTGCAATATTTGATTATCCTAATGCATAACCTGTACTCAAGAGTCCACTGTTAGGAAAAAGATGGATAAACAGAATGGTTTCTAACTGGCAAAGGGAGCAGATTAGGCTGCATTTTATCACCCTATTCTTGTTTAACTGTTTAACTGAATATATCAAATGCAAATCTGGATAAGACCCTGAAGAAGGAGGTGTGAAAAATTGGAGGAAAGAACATCATTGCTCCATTGAAAGCCAGCATGGTGTAGTGGTTTGGGCACTGAACTACAACTCTGGAGTTTAGGGTTCAATTCCCTACTCTGCCATGGAAATCCACTGGGTGACCTTGGGCAAGTCATACGCTCTCAGTCCCAAGAAACCCTGTAATAGATTCACCTTAGGATCATCATAAGTTGGAAATGACTTGAAGGCACACAACAACAACAGCAACAATGCATTAAACAATTAGATATCTAATTGTTCAGAGATGTAGCTGGGTTATATCTGGAATATCAGTGTGCAGTATATACTGTATATACTCATGCATAACTCTAGAAATTTTAGCCAAAAAATTTGACCCCCAAAAACTGTGTCGACTTATCAGTGGGTCAATTACAGTAAGTAGTGTAATGTAAGCTCCAACCCAGCCAGACCACCGGCGACTGCAGCGGCTTGACTTGGGAGCCGGGCGGTGAGAGCTTGATCCACTCCCCTCTTCCCTCGGACCATCAGGCTCTCCGTGAACCTTCAAAGCCAGCTCCAACCCAGCCAGACCACCGGCGACTGCAGCGGCTTGACTTGGGAGCCAGGTGGTGAGAGCTTGATCTGCTCCCCTCTTCCCTTGGACCATCAGGCTCTCCGTGAGCCTTCAAAGCCAGCTCCAACCCAGCCAGACCACCGGCAACTGCAGTGGCTTGACTTGGGAGCTGGGCGGTGAGAGCTTGATTGCCCCCTCCTCCCTCAGACCATCAGGCTCTCCTTGAGCCTTCAAAGCCAGCTCCAACCCAGCCAGACCACCAGCAATTGCAGCGGCTTGGCCTTGAATTGGGAGTTAGAGAGCTGGACGCTTGAAACATCTTCCCTCCCCCTCCAACGGACACATGTGGCTACACTAGTGGAGGGCTGTTTATCCAGTCACAACCGCAGCAACACAGTGGTGACGGTGGCGATCGGGGGCTGGAGAGGACTGAGTCCTGATTGCTGTCACCTGCGCAGCCTTCACCGAAGCCTGGAGGACTTGGCAGTCAAGAAAGCCATCACCTTGGGCAGCTTTGGAGGACAATCTTCCCCCACAGCTTCTTTTCCATCTATGCAGCCGTTGTTTATATT